AAAGGGAAGCAAACATGGCCGCACTAGCCAAGCCAAAGCCAAAAAAAAAAAAAAAAGGGATGCACACTCACCCCAGAAGAGGTGAAATTAAGACCTGCCATGCTCACCTCTCACAACCTGGGTTTCCAGGTTCATTCAACAAACACAAAGCGAAAATTTCCTCTGGCCAGAACTAGGCTAAGTCGCCCAAAATGATCCTCACAATTACAGGAAAGAAACGGACAGAGGCTGAAAATCCAACACGAGGCCTTGGAAAGCAAAGGACAGGACGGGATATGAGTCCAGCCGGCCCGAGGCTCTCTTCTTTCCCTCTACCTCACAAACCACCTTCAGATAAAGAAAGGAAGTGTCTCTAGCTCAAACCCATAGTTCTGGGCGAGTAGAATCTGGGGTCACACGTGCGGAAATCAAGGCCGCTGATCTGGGACAATCCCATGAGATTGATTTGTATAGAGTTACCCTGAAGACCAGACATTTAAAAACCTCTACGTTCCTTCCAGATTTAAAGTTATTTCATTCTAGGGCTGTACCCAAACCCAAGGGGGAAGAACGGGGCTGGCCACAAACTCCACACTCTCACATCATGGAGTCCTCCCCACCCATCTCGTAGTCTGAAGACAGTGTCACCAACCCCAAGACAGCCAAGACTTACATGACCCCAAGACTTACACGTCTCTTCGAATCACACCTGTAGCTTCCCTTTCCCAGGGGACTGCAGACCCCGAGGCCTGGGCGAGGAATGGCAAAGCAGACTGCTCCGTCTGTCTACCTTTAGCTCATAGAGTTGATTTCACAAGTTAAGCTGAGTGTAAGAGTTGAGCCTCTTGTATCTGGAAGGCACAGCTAGGTGCTCTCTGGCAAAGAGAGGCCTAAGGTCGCTGCCCTCACAGAACCTATAACCCAGTTAGAGATTACATCACCCCCTGAAGATGAATAAAGCTTAAACCTCAAGAGCTGCCATACCTGTGCTGCCCACATTCAAGGGATGAAGAAATTGCTCTAGGGTAGGACAGTTCTTAGGATTGGAAGGTGGTTTTTCAAGATGTGCTGACTCAGCATAAACCAGTAGTCCGCACACACTGGCTAAGCAAATAATAGTAGCTTTTGTTTTAGCCCCACTGTTCCTAATTAAAATGCAGAATTCCTTTGCCATATTGGTCACGGAAATATGTCAAACCCAGGTCCTTAGGTCCACATACCAGAGAATTCCAGTTTACTTCCCAACTGTAAAAACTTAAAACAGTAACGTATTGTTCCTAATATTTCCTCTAAGCTTCCTTGCCTAGTGTGGTTTCTTCTCCCCACTTTTGGGATTCAAGGTGACGCAGTAGTCCTCAGAAGCTGGCCTGAGCCACAGGGCACTCTATTGGAGCGAATGAATGCAAGTGTGCATCCTCTGACCCCTGGCTAGAGACAGGCACATCATCTGGCTGTTAGAAGGAGCTTGAGCCAGAGCCAGTTGGAGTAAGGGTAAATAGGAAGAGAGGCCATGTACTGATCCCTAAACAGCTAGCCCTGACCTATATGGGAGGCAGTTCCATGAATCAACACACTATAATACACTTCCAGAACTCAGCAGCTTGCCAGTTTCTCCACATCTGAAGGACATCTCTGCTGTTTCCTCTTACAAAGAGCATAAACACAAGCCAGAAATACCACCTTCAGATCCAGATTTTGACTAAGATTCTGCTCAAGTAGCTATAAGACTTTGGGTTAGACCTTTCACAGCCTTTGGCTTCGTCTCTCCATCTCTAAAGGGGACAAATGGACCAGCTGACCTCTCGTCACAGCACAAGGTGAAGTCAAACCAACAACCAGCAGCAGGAGAGAACAGAAGTAACAGTAACCCCGGGGAGCTCATGGAAAACAGCGAGGAAAGCGAGCGACCAAAGGAACAACCCAAAGGAAGAAAATGAAGACCAGGAGTGGACCTCTCTCCACGAATGCGCCTCCTCCTAGGTTCTGCCTGTGATCATTGTACATCCACACCTTCCCAGAAGAGCTGAGTGAGTCACAGGATTTACCCACCACCATCATCACCACGTACCTTCCACCTTCAGGGATGACTCAACCCCCCTCCCCCAGGAGACGGAAGATTAAGGTGCTCATGCCTTAATCCCCAACCTCAGCCACTCGGCTGTCTGCCTAATAATCTCTGGGAGTCTAACATAATTTAGCTCCTGGAAACCTGGGTGGAGTTTGAAGTACCTAATCCAATGTAACAGCCCCCAAAGCTTCAGCAATACCCAGTGTGTTTTCGGCTCTCACAGATGCAGTATTATTTCCTGTAAAATCTTAACTAAAAGTATTACTGACTATATAGAGAGAGCACTATAGTAAGTTTAAATTACAAAAACAAGCAAACAAAAAGCCTTATGGCAGATTTTCTGTAACTGCATTTATCTGATATCGCCCACGTATCTGCCTCAAAGTCATCCAGCTGTTCAGAAAGCTGACTTCTGCAATGAAGCTGAGGCTGAGCAAAGTTAAGTTGTTGTGGAGTTCATAAATGTGACTTGAGAGTCTAGGGTACTGATTTAAAACCAGAGCCTCCGTTTTCAGTGTGCAGCAGTCTTAGGATCACAAAATGATCACAACACCTGTTAGTGAGCGGCACCTAACGTAGTAGGGCCACAGTTTCTACTTCCATCAACCTTTTCCATTTAACCAGCAGGTGTCCACGCTGGGCGCACACTGAGCAGTGTTACCAGTCCTTTTAATACTCACAACGGCCCAAAGAAACAGAAGAAACATCTCCACTGTTCAGGCGAGAGAATCACAGCTCAAGCAGACGAACAGCTGCTTAAATGGCCAAGAAAACTAAGTTCAGCTTTCTACCCCCTTCCCCCCAGCCCAGGTCCCGAAGATGTTCCCACTGAGTTTGGAAACTGAGTCCCATCGGTCTCAGTGGCTCTGTCACTCACACCCAGGGACCTTTAGGTAAAAGGAAGCCATGTGTACACAGGCAGTGTGAGCCACCTCTCCTGGGAGGATCGTGCTTCTCTTGAGCCTGGGGTACTTTATGACAAGCTCGTGGGCGCACAGCCGCCTGGGATACAGTTTCTGCCTCTGGGTTCCAGGCGGTGACACAGGATCTGTGGATCTCTGACCAGCCTCTAAGGCAGTGCTTCTCTAAAGCTTGCGACCCTTTAATACAGTCCCTCCTGTTACGGTGACCCCAACCATAAAGTTATTTCGTGCTACTCCATAACTGATTTTGCTACCGTCATGAATCGTAACGTAAATCTCTGATACGCAGGATATCCGATACGGAACCCCTGTGAGGGGGTCGGCTGACCCCGCAGTCATGACACAGAGGTTGAGAAACACTTTTCTGTGGAGGTTTTAGAAAGGCACCAGGTGTCTTTGTCCCGGGAGGGCCCTCGAAGCTGTAACAGCAGGGAAGCCCAGCCGTAGCGACAAGTTTTAGCAGGCCCAAGGCTTAATGACAACAGAGATTCCTGGCTAGAGGCGCAATCTGAAATCTCCATCCCAAGGACATTTCTTGCCCCAGTTATTCGCCATCACAGTGTCTGCTTGGACATGTCTGTCCAGGAAGCCAGTCTCTGTGGTGCCCTGTACAGGGAGAATGCCAAGGGGAAGAAGGAATGCCACTTATCCACCCATCATCACTTCTATACTTAAAAGTTCAAGTCCTCCATGCGGGCAAATGTGTGTCTGGCGCGTGAAACGTCATCCGTTGAGTTAACAAAAACCCAACTTTCATTTCATGTTTACAGCTTGCCAACAATTATTTTTAAGAGAAACCAGAGGCTGCTCGGAACCGCAGCCTCAGAGCCCCCTCCCTGCCATCCCACCCACTGTAAATTTCTCTGCTTCCCCCAGCAGGTGTTATCAGAAAAATCCGACCTTGAGATTCTAAAGTCCACAATATGCACGAAAACCTAAGTTGCTAAATAGCTGAAATCAGGGTTTTCTCCAGTTTAAAACCATACCGGCCTCTCCTTTCCCCTTGGCTGCACTCTCTTCTCTCCGGTCTGTTGGTCCTAGAAGGACCTGGGTTCAACTCAAGGCCCAGAGGGGAGGAGGGCCTTTTGTTTTCAGAATGAGCTCCGGGAGCATAGATCAAGAATGCGGCCCCACTGTGACGGAGGCGACTAAGCTCCAGAAAATCTTCCCCAATCAAAAGAACTGGGTCATGTGGGCGCCAACACTGTTTAAAAGGGAGAGCGGGTCGCTCGCTCCTGGAAGAAGCGCTTGTGGGGGTGACTGTCACTCCCGAACCTTCTTTCCTAAGTCCCTGGAGCGCTAGGCTCTAACTCCTCTGTGGGGCCCGCCCGCCCCAGTCCTGGGGCCCAAGGATTCTTGCGTGTTGCGGAGCGATCAGGGAGCTGGGAGAGGGAGCTAGCACACTACTCGGAGAAGCCTGTTTTCACAGCTGAGCTAGTCCTGAGGAACAGGTGCTTTTTAAAGAAGCATGTGAAAAAGTATGTCCTGCGGGAGAGCCAGCACTCCGGAGAGAGTCACACAGGACCAGGAAAAGTGGCTTCCCAACTTCCGCGGGGCGCGCGAGCCAGGGAGGGGACAGGACGGTCGGAGAGCTGGAGAAAGGCCTGGATCTCCCGGGAAGACTTCCCACAAGCCTTCGTCCCACCCCTGTCCCCAGGCGCACACGTGAGGCTCAGCAAAGCGTGCCACCTGCCGGGGTCCTTGCAAAATAAACCCAGGGAGGAGAGCCGCGGAAAGCACTCCGGGGAGAGGAGAGAGAAAGTCTCCCGGGACCGGGCCTGGGGTCTGTCCAGCGGCGGGAGGCGCCGGGCGCAGGGCGTGGAGGGCGCGGCGGGCCGAGTCTCCCAAGCCCCGGCCCGGGGAAGTGCTAGCGGGCAGGACTGGGCAGGGCAGGGCAGGGCCGGGCCGGGCAGGGCTGGCCCGCGGATGGGCTCCGTGCACGCGGGCCGGGCGGCCGCAGGGCGCGCCCTCGCTGCCCCCGGCGCGGCGCGGAGCCCCGGTGGGAACGGGGAAGAGTCGGGGGAACTCACAGCCGCTTGTCCTCCGGCTGCAGCTGCCAGTGCATGGCGAGCGAGAAGCCGAAGAGGCTCCCGGGATCCCCCGATTTCCGGATCACGTTGTCCTCGCGGGTGTCCAGGTTGAAGGCTGCGCCCAGCCGGGCCAGGAGCCCGGCGGACAGGTAGAGCAGGCACAGCTGGCCCGCGACCGCCATGGGCGCGCGCGACCGGCGGGGACCCCGACCTGCTGCTGCTGCTGCAGCGGCGGCGGCGGCCGCCGTGCGCGCGGGCTCGGGGCCGGGCTGCCTGGCGCGCCTCTGCGGCCACTCGGCCTCGCTCGGCCCCTGCGCGCAGCCCCACCCCCGGCCGGCTCGCGCTCTCCCTCGTCCGGCAGCTCCCCCGCGCCCGGACCCGGCAGCCGCTCAATGAGCCCGTTGTTCTCTGGAGACTCCCGGGCGTTTTATCAAGCGACCAGGGCGCCGGCCCCGCCCCGCCCCGCCCCGCCCCTCCCGAGGCCCGGCCCACCACGGGCACCTTCCCCGCCGGCCCCGCCCCGCCGCGGCCCTCCCGCCGTCCCCTCCACCTGCCCGGAAGCGACCCGGAGCTCCGGAATGCTAAGCAGTTGTCTTCTTACCTGACACCGAAGTGCGGGCCCGCGCCGTCTGAAGCCCGCACTTCTCCCAGCTCTCGGCCGAAGGGCAAAGAGGGACTTGGCTTATCTGTTCTCCAGGCTGTTCGAGACGCGCCTAACCGCTTTGGGGGATGGATGGATGCTGCATGCTTGCTGGCCAGAGACTCAAGCGTTGCACTGTCACGCACGTCGATAGTGCTGTACAGGTTAAAAATATAGTAGTCTGTTTCATTGAATCGAAGAAGAAGAAGAGAAAAAGAAAAGAAGAAGAAGCAGAGAAAGAAAGAAACTCAGCCTTGCTGGGCAGAACCCCCAGGTTCAACTCTTCTCCCCTCTCTTACCCCAAATGTCCCGGCCTTGTTAGAACTGCCTAGTAGAGACAGCTAGAGGTCCCTGTGGGTGGCCTGAAGGCTTGTGCCTCCCCGGTACGTGGTGGGACTTCCAGGGAGGTGTTGGCTTTTGAGGCATCCTTATTTTCAAACAGGAAAACTTGTTTCAGGGACGCTCAGAATTTGAGAACAAAACAAGGTACATTTTAATGCCCCGTTTTTATTGCTCGCTGACATTTAACATCTTTTTTCCCCCTTATGAATATAGGCACTAAACCACAAAGGCAGGAGAATATGTATCAGTAGAAAATACTGTTTTCTCCGGGACATTTGGTTGTTGGGGATGTTTCAAGTCACAGTTGTTAGTAGGTAACCCCTCTGCTAGATCTTGCTGTGTGCCAATAAGAAAGCAAAATTGTTAACTTTTTGACATATTTTGATATAATCGGTTTTCTTCTTTAAAAAACATGTATGTTATGCATGGGGTCTTGGTTTTCAGTAATTTGCTGAGGGGGCTTTGTTCTACTCTGTCTCCTATCGCCGTAATAAAATATTCTGGCCAAAAAGCAACGCAAGGGTTTCTTTTATCGCACGTTTCCAGGTAATTGTCCATCATGAAGGGGACTTGGGACAGGAACCTGGAGCAGAGACTGTGGATAAAAGCTGCTCACTGATGTGCTCCCTCTGGCTGGGTTGAGCCAGCTCCCTTACACAACCCAGGACCACAACTGCCTAGGGCTGGGTGACACCCACAGTGGGCAGCACACTCCTGAAGCAGGACAGGGGCCTTTCTTTGGAACCTACCATCTATGCATTGCAAATGAAAGCAGCGTGCAGTCCCCGGGGAGACCCAAGGCATCCTTCTACATCTGTACCAAGAGAACAGCTGGAGCTGCTCGGGAAAGCTGTGTGAGCATCACATGGTCCTCACAGGTGGCAGCAGCTGCCAGAGTGAGTCCCCAGCAGATGTCCCACTTCTCACCAATCCATAATTTCGGTCAAATCTAGCCCACGGCGGGGTGTAATGGATCTAAATGCAGATGATCCTGAAGATCGCACAGCTTGAACAAACACATCTGGACGACGCTGAAAAACTGTTGGTGTGATTTTTAATGCATGTTAGGCACAGCCTTTCTCTTCTTTCATACTTAGCACCCACTATCCCAGAGCGAGACGGGGTTCCAATTAGTGATGGTTGAACAAAATCAATCTCGCTGAAAGGTAGTTCCCAGCCAGGAGGCAGGGCTGTAGCTGCCGTGCTGCTGAAACTGGTGAGGAAAGCTGTGGCCCTGAAACTCCCCAAGCCCAGCAGCCCCACCCTGTACCTGTTTCATGGACCCATCAGTTTCCACTCCAAGCCTGGCACTGCAACTGCTCCCTCTGATTGGTCATCCTCAAGTCATAATAGCCACTGGTCGTTCTGAGCATCCCTCCTCCTTCTAACACTAACTCCAGTCTATGGAGCGTTCACCGATTTCTCCCTTAGACATGTTTGGCAAGTGATACATGGATGAGTGTTGTCACCTTCTTCATTTCAAACCCCAATTCTCCTCAAGTTGACATTCAAGTTACATTAAATTCAAATATCAGGAGTGCATGGTGCTACGAAATCGAGTGATACTCGAAGAGATGAAACTCGGCATGATGGAAGAAGGAGAGACTTGTTTTGGAATATGCCTGTATCGGTCGAAAAACAGTCAGCCATGTGCCAGTCTCCTACCTGTGTCCTGTGTCCTGCCTGGGAGGCCAGACATGCCTGCTGTTGAGTCCAACTCCTAACAGAACCTCTCTGATGATTGCCATTACTTCCCTCGGAAGTCACAAGGCTGGCCTTGAACTCCATAGATAGTTGAGGGTGACCTTGAACTTCTCATCCTCCTGACTCCACCTCCAAGTGCTTCAGTTACAGGTGTGTGTCACTATTTCAAGCTTGTCTTCCTTCCTTTCTTTCTTTCTTTTTGGTTTTGGTTTGTCAAGGTAAGGTTTCTCCATGTAGCCCTGGCTATCCTGGAACTTAGCCTATAGGCCAGGCTGGCCTCAAACTCAGAGATCCTGCCTCCCAAGTGCTGGGATTAAAGGCATGTGACACCACCACCTGGCTTATTCCCAGTTTTTTAGTAGGTTTGAGACTCAATTATTATTTCCATTCCAAGACTGCGTTGGATATTTTTACAGAAGTGTATACAAAAGTAGAAGTTAAAAGGTTGTTCTGTACCCTCTGAGCATATTGAAGTCTCTGGGGCCAAAGGAATGAATTAAATTAATTCATTTAATTTTAAGTTAAGACCCTTGACAATATGAGGTAAAAACATAGGGAGGGAAACACACAGTTTTAGCGGGAGAGAAGTTGAGGCAGGAAGGTCTGTCACCGATCACTAATGCATGCAGGAGGAAGAGTGCCCAGGCCACAGGTAGTTCTGAGTTAGAGAAGAGAGCTGGCTGAGAAAAAGAGATGGAGACAGACAGGGATAGACAGACAGCTGGAGACAGACCGGGGTGGTGGGCTGAGAATGTAAACAGGATGACGAAGGCTTGCTAACCATCCAGGTCAGTGCGTGCGTGCATGCGTGTGTGTGTGTGTGTGTGTGTGTGTGTGTGTGTGTACATGTCTACAGAAAACATGCACGTTGCAAGAAGGCACTCTGAAAATTTAGTTACCTGAAAAAAAAAAAAAAACAAAAAACGATTTTGCTTAAAGGAAGGCTCAGGAGGATTTCTATGAGTTGGAGGGAAGCCTGGGCTACATAGCATAAGGA